AAAAGCAAATGGCCAATCTACATTATGTTCATGTAGACTTTAAAATGACTTTTCAGAAAATCCCAGCACACATTTATGAATGTCGTTATCCCATATGCATACTGTACGAACTTTCGTGCAAAGAAAATAAGGAAAATATTCCGCCAAGATTTTGCATGTTTCGCCTTATTTTCAACACACAAAAAAAGAAAAATGATTTTAATAGCAATGAACAATTATGGGCATCGTAGAGATAGAAATTAATTCAATATTTAAGGGATTACAGAATAAAATCAATATTTATTTCTACTCTTTTTTTCTAATTCAATTGCTCGTCTAAAATTATCACCTCATCCTAGTTGACCAAAGTTACAAATGTTTAATTTTTTTATTAAATTTCAGAAATTTCAGACATGAGATCCCTAATTCTAGGCTGTGTATACACAGCTGAAAACACCCAGAAAGTGCTGTTTCCGGCCATCTGGGGGCTTTTAGATTCCAAAAATTTTCTGAGACGCTCCGCGCCAACCGATGGTGGTACCCTGCTTAGATAGTCCTGCCGGCACTAAAACCATCCTGGGCAGAACCCTGCAGTTGACATGAGATCCTTTGTAAATTTACAAGAGAATATTGAACATTATACCCCGAAACACGTTCGTATGTTGCACCTGTAGCATTTTGTCAGCACAGAAGTATCAACATTTTACATTCGGTATACTTTTATGTACATGCCCGTGGCCTCCATCTCCATGTAGATGGTGACCTTCACTGGAAACTAGCTGCGAGCTAACGGCGACCAATGAAAACGGGTGACTGACATGATGCGTTGCACGTCACCGTGGAATACAAGCATGCCGAAGCAACGCCCAGTATTTATGATAATTTGAGCTCAGTGCTTCGAAACCGAAGTTCTTGCACACAATGTACATGTACATGTACAATGTACAGTACATGTACTGTACACGTACCGTACTGGGGCCTGCGCTGTACTAGCTGTGGTCGCAAGCTGTGGCATCAAAGAAATAACCTCTTGGTTTGCTGCTAGCAAAAATTTACTGAAATACGCTCAACATGGCCATCATGCAAAGATGCTGCTGTTTTGATAACGTCCGATCGGGATCCAACGCATCCGCGATATACACACTGGTAAGTATACTCATTTGATAAACGCTCACCGAATACTGGCAACTTTTCCGTTAACAAAGCCGGAACAAACCATGATCTACCTTTGCAGATACAGAAAGACTGTACAAAAGTGTTTTTAACACGCTTGCAACCCGAAACTAAAGGCACGTCAAAGGATAAGTGACTTATCAGTATGACCCCGTATACTCCTGTATGTAAGGTTTTTAAGAAAATATACAGGTCCATCATTTTGAAGGTTTTATTATTATTATTATTATTTTGCATTGCATTGGCAGCACCTTTTCATAATTTGTATTTATAATACATTTGGTGCATACTGTACTGGAGCATAGCTTACGGTGCAATGCTAGTTGGCTGGCAGGCCGACTGACTGACGGATTATTTTTTTCAAAATATCAAATAACTAGTCAAAAGACTGACACAGTCTCATTTCCACTTAAATTTTACAAAAATAATCATAGTAATTAAAAGAAAATACAAATTGAATTCCATCATATCAATCAAGAGAAAAGCCCACAAAATACATCAAGTTGTAACACCTCACGTAGTCGTCATAGCGGGTTGAGCAAGAATACGAGCACGTCTATTGCTTTCATTGCTGTAATTAAATGTATCATTCTTTTCCGTGTAACGGCAAACCTCGCCACTGGCCTTCGCCTGGCTGTGAAGTGTTAGGCATACACTTTTTTTGAACAAAAAAGAGACCTATTGGTCCTATTCCTACGAAAATCTCGAAAAGTCTCGGGAAAATAAAGAAAACATCTACACCGAAATTTTCGCAAGGGCCCTGGGCGACGCCATCTTGCCCGGATCGCTGCTCCCGAACCGCGCCTCTGGCCCGCCCGGCGGTCGTCATGAGACGCTCTTTGCCATTGGGTGCGGGCGTGCGCCATCTTGCCCGGATGGGCCCGATCGCCCTCCCAAACCGTGCATTTGTCGCGTTCGTCCGTTGGCCGCCGGGTGGCCATATTGAACGGTCCTTGCCATTGGGCGTGTAAGGTCCCGATGCGGATCTTCCTGGGTACAGTCCACTAATTCAAGCCCCATTAAAAACAGTGTAAAATCAGCACCGTTCAGGGCCCAGTAACATGCATACCAACATCCCTGAGATTTCAGAAACACAAATGTTCCCCAACAGATCCCTTATTTCCCTTTTGGTGGTGACGTATTCCCGCTGTAACATTCCGGTCCCGCATTGTTTTATCCGTGTTTTTTCGTGCAAGCCCGTGACGCGACGACGCTGTACCAGCAACAGTCCGCGTCGATCCTAAGGTGCCAGCGCCACAGACGATCACAGGTTATCACTCGCCTGACGGCATGCCGGCTAATCCTATTGTCAACATGTCACTGCCACATGCGCGCCTGCGTATATGTACAGTACATGAGGTGCTGGTTCATCACTAGGAAATAGTGACAGATATACGACAATCCCGAACATGCCAGGCCACGATTTCACATTCATCCCAAGAAAATAAGAATAATGAATATCATTACACCCCATACGATGAACGTCAATGTGAGCACTCATTGTAACTTACATTGTACGTACATGTAGTACAAGTAATAATACATAGTAAATCAGGAAGTACTCGAAAACCCACAGTCAAAAACTTCCTACGTTCGTTGCGGACCTCTGCTAAAATGACTTCCGCCCTCACGTTTCATGCCTTGATGATTCAATTCCTGAACGATTAATACCTAATCCTTTTTCGCGTTAAACAGTCTTGATTTTGGTTAATGTGTTCAGCCTCATTTGAATTATTGGCATGTACTTTTTACGGTTCTTAACCATGCCAATAGAAACAAATCATCTGTTTTTTTATGATGCGGACAGTAAATCTCTGATCCAATCCAATTATGTCAGTCACGGTGACATCACTCTGGACTCAACTTTTGTGCACGCCGTCCAGCTTTTACTGTTAAAAAGGGGGAGCGCCGGACGCAAATGTGTCGAAGCGTTGGGTTCTATTCATATTCAGCTCAATACATCGTTCCTATCCTGAGTTAAACAGGGCACCCAGCAGACTTTACTCCCAACTTGAGTAGCCTCGCACAGCTAGAATATTCCCAAAAGAGGGCATGATTTGCTGTCATACTGCTTCCTTTTTCTTGAATGTTCTTTTAGTCTAAACTTCCGGGGCTACTCCCCGCGCAAAGTAGGGTCTCTGAGCATAATAAACCTGATCGTATAATCAAAATAAACATTACTTATATGGCATTGTAGTTCGCGCTGCACACCGCTAGTCTATTGTAATCAATGTCCTCCACCATGTGGACGTGGACGCCATTTTACACCTCGACTTCGCAGTGCATGCGCTGCGAGGTACGTGTGGGTGTTTCCCTCAAGTTATGGGTGCAGTGCGCCCCAATTCGAGTAAAATTCTCCGCCAGGCGGAAGCGCACAAAAAGTACCCCCCCCACACACACAGATTCTGTCGAAAAGACGGGTCCTGTCTGGGCCAAGAAATGGTGGGATTGTGCCAGTGTGGCCCGGGATTATCTCTGTAGATTCCGGGGCATCCATCTGGGGGCAAAGCAGACAAAAATGTGACTGAACATTTGCCAGAAAAGCCCGAGGAGGGTGAGAGAGGCATTTGAAAAATAGCCGCTGAGAAGACTTGGGAACATTGACTTTTGGGGAGGGGGTGAGTTTGTTTTTGGCAGATAATTAAACAAATCACTGGTTAACCTACTAAAAATTGAGAATCAAATGAAATCTGAAGGACCAAACAACACATTTTTTTTGACAGGCCTCAGGGACTTCAGTTGCCTTACATGGGGCTCCAAACTTGGTTGATTTTACACTATTTTCAATGGAGCTTGAATCGGTTCAGTGCACCCTTGTTGATATGGCCAATGTGAACATGGTGACCTCACTGTCAGGATAATAATATACGTCATGTGATGTGACGTGTGCCGTGAGTCACTGATAGTTCCGTGCATGTGGTTGTGGCTGAAAAAATATTAACGATGTGAATCAAGGTTACTGACGCAGTGGAGATAAACATTTCAAACTAGAGGTCGACAAGACTGAACATTTTACAGCAAAGTGATGGATTATCCACTACGAAAGCGAGCAATAACCTTGTCCCGAAATTAGGCTTCACGTCGCGACATAATGGGCAATGTCCATCGTCACCATGCATGCTCGCAACATTATTACTGTACGAAGGTTGAAGTGCTGTAAACAGCCATCATATAAGTTTAAAGTGATCGAATATTTTTATATAAAGGCGTCCAGTCGTGCATCGCTAGACCCCTTGTATTTTCACACCCGTTCTTACTTTTGAAGAGTTTTTGGGCGAAAGATCAATCACTGAGAAGAGACAACATCTCTTGTTTCCTCTACGTGTCTGGCATCTATGGTTAAACCATCACAGCCTAGCTCACACAAAAACCTGTTCCTCGCATTGAAGATGGTCCCCTGTTATGGGCAGGCTGTAAGTGACATCAAACGCACTCGTTACCCTTGATTGACCGAACGACCAATTTTGTGCAGGGACAATACTTTATGAGCAATTCAAATGTTCAACCATAAGCAATTCAATTTACCTCACTGTCGACGCTACGGACCATTTGTTTTAAATGCGTGATTAGAACCGCCTGCTTAGAACCTTGCGGTCACATTCTGTGATTCAAATTTCTATGTATAAAGGGCATGCTGTACAGCATAAAACAGCCGGCTTTCGTTTTCCTGTCACTTTTTGGATGGATGGAGGGGGCAGGGCAATGGGTGGGGGCTCGGTCCGTCCGTAGACGCAATTTTTCTGCGGAAAATAATGTGCTTGACACATGCAGATGAGATTTCCAGATGCCTTTGTAACAGTAACTTTAAACGCATACTATCACGGTTATAAGTGGGGTGGTGTTACCCTACGGTGGTGGGTACGCCTAAGATTTTTTTTAGTCAAGTGGCCGCTCCTGCAATTAAAATACTCCCTATAAAGACCAAGAATTGGCACAACCCTCGGATTAGAATTGATTTGTTTCTATTTGAGATCAAGTCGAGAAACCGAAATTCAGAAAAACTGTATTGAGTCTGAAAAAATGGGAAAATTACACAGTCGTGGACCTTATTAAATGGGGTGGATAGTAAAAAAGACTGATGAAAAAGTACAGGCTGGTTCAGGTTTGTAATAAATTGAGTGTCCAGTAATTAAAGCGTACGTAGTGACATGATCTCGAAACTACATTCAGAGCGCAGAATGTTCACTGTCTGTTGCCATTGACAAAATTGTAAAATATGGGGGAAAAGGAGTAAGTTATCAAGTGGACCTATGGGTAAAACGGATAAAGGTTATAAGATATGAATAAAATGAAGTAAAGTGATAAGATAGGGGTAAAATGGATAAACAAAACAGAGAAAGGTTGTGAGATAATGGACAAAGTGGAGAAAAGTTTTAAGATATGGACACTATGCCACCTGCCCTCGCGACAGAATTCACTTTCTGACAGAAACTCTTGCAAGAGAGAGATCGTCACATACGCCACGGCGAGGTGTGTCGCGTAGCTTATAAAATTAGGTTCAAGTCTGGCACGAACTTCGAATCTAACGCCCGGTGTTTTTGAGTCATATCAATGAGAATACTGTTAACTTATGACGAAGACCATGAGCAACTACGACGGCGACTTAACAGCCAGAGTGCGAGAGTTTGGTTCAAATGTTGGGATGATGTTCAGCGAACATAAAGAAAAAGCGTGATGCGGTAACTTGAGACAAAACCCAGACTTGACAAAGTTTGACCACTACAATACGTTAACCCTAACTTGGCTAAATCCACCACAGGGAATTACGGTTATTGTGCAAATAAATGTTTAGGAGTGCAATGACAACAATAATCAAGGGGCGAAGCCCACAGCCAGGTGAAATGGAACATTAATCACAGGGTGAACTTGTTTATTGCATCGAAGGAACGCCAAACATTCATTTTCTACGACACAATACCTGAATATTCAAGTTGCCATTTTCCTTTCTGGGTCCGCGCGTCCGGCGTCAAATTGCGACACGAAGTTTTCACGTAGCAAATCAGTTCATGTTTCAGCAGTTGTTTCATTCAATTTGCATACTGAATAATTCTTCATAAGGATTAGAATTACAGATGGCATCGGCTAGAGGTTTTTTGCCATGTGTCTGTCGCCTGTAGTTTGCTGGGGGGGGGATGCGAAAGGCTGCCCTATTCCGCTTATCCGCTCCAAGCGGAACAAAAGAGGAGTGTTGTTTGTTTTGGTTATTATTTTTTTTTTTTGGTACTCACTGCTTAAGTATATGCGCGTTTGACGCGGAGCACGCTGAGTACACGTAATTAATTCATTCCGACATATATGGTCTTTGCGTACATGGAGAACGCGTGCAAGAACCCGCTTATAAGCACCTGTCTTTCTTTCGCCGATTGGGGGTGCACATCAGCTCGAGGCGGATAATGCAACAGCAGTTGCGTATTAAAGCTTCCATGTTTGCTTGACCGAAATGAACTCTTGTATGCTTATATTTGCACTGGTTTTGTTGGCGTGAGCCATGAATTGGCCCGAAAATATCATGTGACGTGATCTGCAACTCACCAATCAGATGCCAGTTATTTCTGAAGGTGTTGTGTAACGACAAATCTTGAAATTAACTGTGACTGCCTCAAAAAGTCACTTGACTCCGGGAGTAGTTTCGGCCTAAACTTAACAAATGCACAAGACTTCTCTGCATCTGTGCCCCGTGATTATTATTCAAACGATTGTCTTAGGTTTCACAAACTTACGTGGAGAACAACTGTACACTTATACTGTCAAGGCCGTAACCCTATAATGACGACTCCGTCATTTACACAACTTCACAAGTTGGATGTGGGCCTCAGATGATAGGTGTTACACAATAAACACTATAAGTCCCAGACGTTAGCGCTAGATAAGAATCTGAAAATTAATCAAAATAAATGAAAAAAACACTAATCACATCATAACCCAAGGAAGACCACGAGAAAAAGGATGGCCTAAACCTAGGTAAGTATCATGTACATCTACACGAACGTGGTACATTGTGTGTACAGTATATACATGTACTATAACATTAAGCACACTTTAGTTAAATCGACAATCTCATGAACTTTTCCACATTTTTATCGTTCCTTTGTAGGGTCAAAATAAAACTAAACTCACCATAAGGGCTCTCTTAAGGTCTACAAATCACAGGAATGATCTGTGAATCACATTATAATCAATCTCTGAAAATACAACTTGGCTATCGACAAAGCTTTTTTCGTGGTGAAATTTACAAATCAGACACTGCTGACTGCATGTGTATTAAAAGGCACAGCTATCTAAAAGCCCTGGGGAAGAGCTTATAATTCTAATTAGGTTGAACCTCCTAAATATGATGTAATGGTCTGCAGACATGTAATGCAAAGTCAAACTATAAAAGTGTACCAGAAAAGAGATTATACAGTAAACTCCAAGTATTATGGGGATTAGAAAATTTTTAAAGACACCATAATGTAATTTTGACTTTAATTTAAACAGAGATTTGGCTGCACAACTTCTACAGCAACATTAACCTTCTGCCGAAAAGCGCCAATCATCCTCGAACGTGTTAGACTAGACTATACAAGAACTGTCACAGAAATGATTCTGAGTATTTCCCGAAACTCGTACACAGTGAGACTTGGTCATTACCAGTTTTGTAGTTTGTGTAATCCTTGGTTCTTCCTCTCAACCATAGATATATTCCGCCATCGTTTTGGCTTTCGCGGCATGGCAGATTTCAGTTCTCGTAGCTAGTGGAGGTAAGCATTTTATTGTATTCATTTATGACTACCGAATGCATAGCCACGCTCAGTATTTCATTTATCACTGTGCAAACTTTAAATTAAATGGCTACTGATGTTAAGCTGCGTTTAATAAACAAAATCCACATGCACAACTGACGGGTTGAAATCATCAGTGATTTTGTCTTTTTTTCGATGTTTGGGCGACAACGTCGAGTACCGATATATTCAATCAAATCAAGTTTACTGACTAATTTATTTTACAGTGGAATTTCTACCTGTACTAAGGAATTTCGGGCGACTTATTATTAACATGCAAAGATCGATTACCTCCTGATAATTGATCCTGATAATTATTGAATATTAATAATAGATTAATTCAATATTCGTTTGACTGGTCTCTCCTAAGAGATAAGTCATCAATTAACCATTCTCATCAATTTTTTTTATGAAGACAGTAAAGAACACGTATGAAGCCAGTCAGAGGAGCTTCAAACATTCACACCAATATAATTATCACCATTCCCTCCAGTGTATATTTACCTGCCCGTGGATGGCGTCTTCGTCGCGTACTGCTTGGGGGTGGCGCTCTACGCCCTGATTCTGATTTTCTCCGTACTGGTCCTCGTTGGCGTCTCAAAGGTAACAACCATCGTAACAACATGAACGGCGATTCATAGGTTGAGAGGCCTCGTTTGACTTCGGCAAATAGCCAAAGCTGAGGCCATAATACAGCCGGTTCCATACCGTCAAGTTAGTTCAGTGTAACAAAGAAGAGCATTTAATGCTAAAAACACACTTGCGCGCGCTACAAGGGAAGGAGGCCGCGCTATGGAAGAACATAGCCGTCACTTCAGATGAAGTGTATGCTTTGTCTCTACAGGACCCTCTGAAAATGTCCTTTCCTGCAGGTACATCGAGTTTCGGGGGCTTATCGTCCATATCCCCAGTGTTATAACCACGATATTTGAGCCGGGCACAGTAGAGAGAAGATGACAGGAGTGCTTCTGTCCAAACTCAAGCCTGACCACACCCTCTTACACTGTATACTGGGGAATTTCCTTTTTTCTTGTGTAATAAAAAATATAGTGTGTGAAGCACAGTTTCCTAATTGCTTCCATTACCAAATTTTGGTCCCGAGTCATTTTCCTTGGCTGAAATTTCGATCGAATGTCCCGAATAAAACTCTTCAATTTGTGTGGGATAAGTACTCTTTGAAAAATTCCTTATGGTTTTGCCCCCGTAAACTCCATATATCAGTGTTTTGAAATTCAAGTGGGGCACCGTTTCAGTACCCCACAGGTACAACAGATGTTCCTTGTGGGGTACTTCGTGTTGTTCTGGTACCCCCACAAGGCACCATAAGCACACTCAAGACTATCTTTTCCCGATGAGTGTGAGTGTGGGGAAGGGGAATTCCCTTCCACACCAAATATACGCCTAATATATATTGTGTAAGGGTAACAAACCTGCCACCTCCACGAGGCATATCCTGCAACGGCGAATTAAATTGTTTACCTATTGCGTTTTGTTCCGAAGGACCAGCGTGGATTCTTACTACCGTACATGATTGTCATGCCCGTGCTCATTCTTCTGCAGATAGCACAGTGCATCATACTCATCGTTAACATGGCTGCGGTAAGTCCATTGATAAAAGACAACCTGATCAACCCATCTTCAAAACCAGACTTTGAAGAGGCCACAAAGAACTTTTGTCACTCAGTGCCCATTTGTTGCCAAATGCTCGTCCAGGCCTGCGGACTCTGCGATTGAGTATCCAACAGGGGTGTCGCAACACTCATGTCCGGACTCGATGGACTTTGTTTTCAGACTCGGATATTTCGGACATCGACTCGGACTCGAATTATAGCTGGACTTAAGTCAAGTCAACCAGAAGTGGTTGACCACATCACAACACAGACCACGCCTTGCAACAAAGTCTGGACCAATAAATAACTGTCCCTTTTCCCGAGTTTAGAGTAGAATTCAGAAGGCATGTCATTTTCCGTCATACACCGGTATCAGACGCCGTTGGGGAGTTAACTCGTTGTACTTCACTTGCTTTTCAAAAGGTACTCAAAAAGATGATTCACTGATCGGTGGGGTTCAATCCCTTCCACTGGGAAACATTACGAACACCACTATTAACTAATAAACGTATCAACCGGGATAACATTTTCTTAATTATCAGTTGATTTCCTAAAAGATAGTTGGGTTTACAGCTTGCACTTCAATGAGTGTACAATCAATTGGTCCAGTCTCAGCTCAGGCACAGAATTCAATTGGAGCTATGATCCCAAAATGTTTTGAGGATTAACTTGTAACTTCATACATGTAAAATGTAATTTCTACTGGAGAATGATATGCTAGCAGTCTTTTTCAATTCATTGGTCTTTATCTTGATTGCATTTTTAATAATACGTCTTGTAATACGAGTTTTGTTTAAAAAAATATGTCGATGTTTCTGTCTGAAATATTTACCACACAGAGGGACTCTTATTACGGATACAACTACGCCAAAGTGGGCATTGCCTTCGGGATCGTTCAGCTGGTTATCGTCGTGCTTTTTACAGTGCTGGATGTGAGTATTTAACAGAAGCAGGCTTGAATAAAGCTGCCTCTTCATCTCTTGGAGCTCTGAAATAAATTTACCTTTTCCTCTGATAAGCATTTATGATTTACAACTTACAGATTACAGTACAGTATAATCTGAAATGGGCACTTTTAAAGAGGTAGAGCTAAATGGGAGGCTTTTTTGCGCTATGGGTCGAAACCAAGTGAAATGAAATAGTAAAAGAAATGATTTGCTAATTATATTACCAACGTTGCTTTTTAAAACTGAGATTAAAGGGTTGACGGAACCACTTACAAGAACACTGGTTTAATGGGAGAACCACTATATCCGAAAGTTGCAGCAATTAGTTGAAGGATCTTTAGTTTGAGTCATTTCTCATCAATTCCAATCATTGCGCATCACCTAAACTGATTGGATTGTTTTCCTTTGCAGGTGTTTTGCTTCCTGTGCGTGACGTCTCAATACCAGGAACTGAGGGATGGGCGTGGCCGCCTGCAAGACGTGATCGCAGCAAGGGTATATTTGTTTTTACCGGATAGTGTGTGTTTGTTTAGGAGATCTCAATTTCTATGAGAACCACTGAATATTACGCATATTATTGTTATGCCATCACACAATCAGCAAAGACGAACCGTACTCTGACCCATGTTTAATGAGTCATTCCATGAGGTTGGGGCACAATTTATGACTGTGTCGTTGTTACATCCAAATCTTTAAGCACCTGTCATGACCTATAGAGTAGGTCATTACTCTGTATGCAGGCTTGCAAGATGTTTAACAATGTCAACTTGGAATCAAAATGCAGGGAAATAATTGTTTATTTTTACGGAACCCATGTAACAAATTATTGACACCGTCGCAAATTGTGCCCCAACCTCATCATGGAATGACCCAAATGCAAAAACTTGTCAGTTTGAGCCTCATATGAGATGTGAAAAAAATTGTTACAAAGCAGTGCCAGCTCTCTCTAGCAAATCTGGTCGTATTTTAACATAAATGAGTTGGAATAATATCAGGGTGGATTTTGCACGATTCAAATTCAAATTACGATAGATGCTACAATATGTACAACATAACGTTTGCAACACAAACAAGGAATCCTTATTTGCATTTTTTTTTATTTTGTTTTCTTTTCTTCTCCAGACCCATACTGTGGTCACCACCACCCCTGGCGTTGGTGGCGCTGTCATCGTGACCCAGCAAACTGGCCCCCCACAACAGGGCTATGCAATGCAGGAAGGCTACCCACCCCAGCAGGGCTACGCCACCCAACAGGGCTACGCCCCCCAGCAGGGCTATCCTGCCCAACAGGGCTACGCCCCCCAGCAGGGCTACGCCCCCAGCAGGGCTACGCCCCCCAACAGGGCTATGCCCCCCAGCAGGGCTATCCTGCCCAGGAGCCAATCCCTCCAAAGGTTTAGGGGTGTTTACAATTTTTACGAGAAGGATTTAAATTCCAATGAATTTCAGGAAAAGTGGCAGATCCTGTTATATCTTTGTCTCCTTCTCGAGGCAAAGTAGATTTGTTTGTAATTAGACGATTTTTAAAATAGAGTCTGTGTTCATTTTGGTACATTCGTCATCTCTTTTTTGTGTGAAAGCTACGCTTGCAAACTGAAATAATTTGATGCTTAGTTATACTCGCTTTTTGCAAATAATAGCCCAAGTTTTTGACAGGAATGCCGAACCATTCTGACAGATGAAAATGCTTTCCCCCCTGTGTATCTTGAGGCAATACGCAAGGCTTTACAATCAATACTATTGTCACTGTGCTGCAGTTAGCCTTTTTGCTCGTTTTGTTTTGCATTTTAACACTCGTTTCCTCTGATTAATTAAGCAAACGTTTCCGAAACATGTTTCGAAGTAAGCAGTTGAATTTCCTACTTGTACGATTCAGATTTTTTCTTACTTGGGCCTTGCAGTTGTCACAGCGAATGACAGGTTAGCGCCTGTTCCATCACAAAGATACAGAACTCTATCATGACCTATTTCAAACTACTGTTGCAGTCGACAAGCCCGCATGACAATCACATCACGAAACCAGCACGTAATCTCTGGTACAAACTTAAGTCACAAACTATTCAACACCAACTGCAACAAAATCACTCCTTTGTCACTTTTTACCATGTTACGTGTGACAGGGCGTCTTGTGACTTGTCTTGTGACCGGATTTGTATCTGGCTTGCGACGGCCTTGACTGAAACACTGTTACGTACCACAACGTTGATCAGCACTGGGTCGAAACCAAACCTGAAAAACTTCGGCAATATTAAAGCACATTATGACGTTGGTGTCGAAACGTGCATAGGAAATCATTCTACTTATAAACACAAAAAGGCTCAGCAAGAAAGACGTAAGAATTGCGGCAAAACGCAGCGACTGAAAAACTGCAAAAACTGCGTATTATGAAGGACAACTGTCCCTGGCCAATGGAAAATGTAAACCAAAGTGTTCAGAGTATAACAGTAGACACGTGCTAACCGCAAAAAAAAAACATACTTTGATCCTTCGAAGAACTCAAGTCAGTTTTTATTGCCACGCAACTCTCCATGGTTTAGCTTTCAAGTTTTACTCAGTGTTTACTCAAATGCAAATTGCGCCTTTAGAACTATGTTCTCTGTATTTGTTACTCAGAAGACATGTCGTTTGCGACTCGTTGATATGAAAGTACATGTACATAATATGCATTTATGTAATGCTCTCAGCTGTGAACTGACCATAACACTTTAGCTTAGCTCATTTTAGAAGCGCAGCATTTAACAAAGCGTTTAAGCATGCATGAGCGAAATGGTTTATTAAATCAAGTTCAATGCTTACAGTGCTAATGTATTTCTTTCTTTGTTTGAATTTTGTATTTCAATCCTTTTATTGATCCAACATCTATTTTTCACCGAGTAGGAAAAGAGTCTTACTTCTTATTTGATTTTTTACTAATTGGATTTTTGATGGAAGTGCACAGGAGTGAACGCTGACAATGGGCGTGCTTTTAACTTGCTGGCGTGCTAAACCGGTGTTTCAACTGTCTGTAGATCAGGTACATAACTTGAATTTTTTACGCTACTGTAATGCTTGCAGATAGGACAGATATGTGACGGTTTAGGAGAGTCGTTAGTACCAATAAATAACTGCAAATTCCTTTCTTGTTGTGATTGTGTATTTATTTTCATAGGATTGAAGTGATTAAAGGTAATTCATCACTTTGATTTTAGCAAGTTTTCGTGTGACCTTAATTATCACTCAGTTTCAGGCATTCAAGTTGTCAGATATGAATTGATGTGTTTACATCGTAAATATCCGCATAGTCCGGTGTGTTCTCCTATAGACTGTTTGCACCCACGTGACTGGATTGCGCTAAATGTAAACAATACCACCACGTGTGGACCGCCTTGGCCACGGTGATCGCACGATAGTGTATTCCTACGGGCAGCTTCAACCACGTGCAAGCACACGTGCGATCGCTGCATGCTTGACTAGTTTATTGTAAATAGGTAGATTACCATCACAACACTATGCAATCATTACCATCACAACACATCATAGGTCCAGCACAATTGTGACATCACAGGAAAAGGGTCTACCATACGCAAAAGGTCCACTGAGGTTGAGTTAAACACTTTATAATCAGATGAACTATGCACAGAATACAACATAAACATGACTTCTCCGCCTTAACATACTAGGCTCTCCACGACCTTGGCCTCCACACGTCACTTTCTGGCCTTCCGCTCTCGGAATGACCGCAGGGAAACCCGACAGACGGCCCGGACGCAGGGGATACCACGCCCATAACTTAGTGGAAGCTCGGGGCCTTGAGAGAAGGCCTGACCCCGCAATTTTTGCCGGATCTCGGAGTAGTGGAAAGGAAATGCCTGTAGGCAGGTAAAAATCAAAACAAAACGCAAAACATGTCCCAACTTTACATATGCCACCAAAGCAGTACCGGTATACACTGCGTATCTTCAGAATATGTTTAAAATCACATCTTATGATATAGGTCTCAGGATTTTCGATGGCTATAAGTACTCTTCCGATCCTCTTGTCATAATTAATTAATTCTTTTTTTCTAAGAATCCTTCTTTTATGTTAAATTTATATTCATTTATTCCACTTGAACCATGTTTAATTTTAAGAGACATTGTTTTGTAGATATTTTCTGTCATGAATTAAAGGTTCATTTAGAAAAGTAACATATCTAACGTCTTGAAGCATTTCCTACATTAAAATTGAAACAGTTAAAATTAATTCATTCAATTTCACAGGAGGCATATCGACGAATCAAGTCAATATTTAATGGCGCTCAATTATCTTTGCTCTCTCTTAATTTTGGATAATAAAATAAGGTATTTCGAATGCTCAATATTAGATATGGAATGGTTTTTTTCACTACACTGAAAAACAAATGAAATACGAATGTTTTATATCTCGTTTGAGAAACGGGGCTAAAGTCTGTAAATTACTTTATCATACAATAGGCTCCTTTTACTATACCCTTTCCAACAGGACACTCTTATGGGACTCCAACTTTTAAATGTAACGGCTGTCGTAACAGCTATTACACGTCTATAGTGCTACTTCATTTTACATCTTAACATTACATCTTAGATTCTGAGGAAAAGATTTAGTGTGATGAAAAGTCACGTACACACAAAACCACAGTTTTAATACCAAGAAATTGCCCTTCAATTAACCAATACCGAATTAAAATCCCACTTTTTCCATTTCCTGAAGGAGTGTGGCTAATCGTGTAATATTTAGCAGCCAATCAGAAGGCGCAATCTACCTGTGACGTCATTACGCGGCATCCTAAAGTTCCGGGTAGCTTACAGGTATATATTAACCTAGATTCCGGCGCTGTCAAACAGAAACGTGCCTTGTATCCTGTTGGAACATATATCGCAAGCCTTGGTCGACGCGTACACAAACTGCTGAGGACTAACGCTAATCGGTATACAGCGAGAAATCTTGCATAATTTTCCACGACCATGGCAATCCTGAAAAGATGCCTCTGTGTGGACAATGTCCGAGGCGGCTCCGCATTATCAGCTGTATACTCTGTGGTGAGTCAATCCAATCAGATGGTTTCACTTTAAACACTATGCTGACGTGACCCACATCGCTAAAAATGCCATTGTCAAGATGAATACTGACCTACGATAATTCGTTTTATGTTTTACACAAAATGGGGGGGGTGTTATTTAGTAAAATGAATAAAATTTACTGCAAAATTAAGTTACACAGGCTGTGCAGAAATCAATCTTGAACAACGTATCAAACGACTCGGAAAAATTTTTTTTTTTTACTTTTTTTTTTACTTATTTCATTAAAATGAAACAGTTGCATACATACGTCCTTTTGCTGGGAAAAGATTTTTTGCAGTGATCATGCTTCCCGGCAAAAGGGCGTAAGCGCTTACGTCCTTCCAGGCACACGACTCGACGATTTGAAAGCGTTCTGTTGATGGATTCTATATCGATTTCACTCTACGACTTCAGTAGGAAAACGGCAAAGTACATTTTGCAAATCTTCGCTCACCTAACTACGTTTACTATGCAGGGACAAGCAATCAAAGTGCATGGGGGTAAACTTGGAAATTTGAGATGGGCACTTTCTATGGGTTCAGCGTCAGAGAAGAAAGGAGAAGCCTTTAGTGCGGAAACGACCCATACTTTACTGACACGCTACGTTCGCTTACTAGTTCCCGTACAATTGTGTGGGGACCGCTTGAATCTTTCAATATTGGTGTTTTCTTTCTGTATGAACAAACAACTTTTCATGATTGTTATTTGTCTGTGACAGATCTCTTCTCTTGTACTCCTGGTACTGGCTGCCATCCAACTGTCAGCGATCACAGGTAAAAGCAAGTGAATTCTGTTGAGAAAACAGTCCTTTACGCGTCAGATCATACATTCATTAGTGCTGGGCTGACAGTCACCGAACTTGGTGAAAATATGGTTTAGATCTACATCTACTGTAATGGGATAAAGTAAACGTCAGCTCTGCTTCACTTCCTCTGCTAACCGTCAACAAGGATGGCATCATTCTTCAGTTTGGGATCAATCTTCGTTAATTCTGAGTGCAATTGCTTCCATCTTATTCACATTTTGGGGTAGATTGTAACATAACTAAAATCTAGTTTTGATCAATAGGTTGGGAGGGAGAAACCTTTGGTGCAAACCTATGCATCAACTCGGGTTGGCGGAGAGTAATGTCTGGTTGCCGCCCACCCAGGTTGCACCTCGTATCAACGGAGGGCGCCATGACAAAGTAGCCATTCATGTGGCGGTCATGGGTGACGTGCTGTCTGTGCGGCTGCAGTGTTATTTTATCAACTTTGCGCCCTGCGAAACCATAGAGTGTGGAATTTATCGTTACTAGAACAATTTTCCCTCAATTTCACATCAGATTTAGGGCAGGTCACAACCTTGAAACCCTGCAAATGTCCTTGTTCTACAGCTTTGCATCGTGAAACAGCAAGCTCGTGAACCTTTCATTCATATCTCACATTTCTTACTAAAAGGGTGCGTAATTATTGGGCTATATTCCTTACAATGAGGTCGGACTGACCTCAAACTTTGTGCAACTTGAAGCCTACACGTGAGCCCCCCTACTCACAGTTTTTTCCATTGACCCCCACCTTATCACATTCTGCATGGTCCTCTCATATACACATACTCTTTAATGCATTTACAAAAAAAAAAAACAGATCACACGAATAATTTGAACGAAATACTGGCCAACCTTCCCTTTCATCGAACTTCACCATATCACGAAGACACGATTGAGTATTTTCGGCGATTTATGAGCATTTCGCTGCTGTAGTCGACTTAAATTCTACGGAAACTTATTTGATTAATGATATTTTAACATTGCAACACTGTATATTCTGCCATCTAGAGTTGCCTGCGAAATACAATACCGGCAACATCACAACTGTTAGCGCTTTGTACGTGGTTTCGGTGAGCCTGGTTGTAGTGTCCTCGCTGCTAGTCCTTTGGGGCACTTCGAGGGTGAGTGACGTTTCGTTAAATAATTCAACTTATGTTCGAATTCCCCTTTTAAGGACGTATTTGGAACCTTTCTCCAGATTCAGTCTTGTTAATGCTTTAAGTCGCAAAACGGTCCTTATTACTGTTCGTTCCGTGAAATCAACTTCGCAATTCTACAACAGCAACAGTTAATATCCTTGTCCAGGGCAATTAGTATAGATATAGCCCACATTTTTCCTCAATGAGTACTGCAAGAAATATAGTCCCTGCAGCGTGAGAACACTTTGTTATTATACTTTGGCTTTCCTTACCAGCACCTATTGAGTGAAAAGCTTTATCTCATATTCAGGATTCCTGCATTTAAAGGACAATTAAATTCCATGACCACATTGTGAAAATCCATGACCCAATAATGCAATGTCTTGGAATATTCAGACTTTCAAAGTTGCGAATAAAATCACGCATTTTAGGCACTTATTTCTGATAATAGAAATCACACACAGTGTTAGAAAAATTCCATGACTTTTCCGTGACTTTAGTCATTTTTACAAAATTCCATGACTTTTCCAGGCCTGGAAAACCATAACAAATTTCCACGACTTTTTCATGACTTTTCCAGGCCGCAGGAACCTTAACAAAGCACGTATTACAATGGCTAAGGTTTTCTGTCTTTATTTTTTGCTTGAGTTTATAGCAACAAATTAATAATACCTGTGTTTGGTATGCTAATATCAACAGGATGATCGTTGGTTTCTGTTACCATATATGATTGTGATGCCGATACTCATTCTATGGCAGCTAGTTGGTTTAATCAGTTTCCTGTACCTCATTATAAGCGTAAGTTCATTTTACTTACCCAATAATGTGTGTTGTTTTAATTTACGTCAGCCAATTAGCTCTGCGTCTCTGCGGCAATTAGAGTACATGAGAAAAGGGGGAGGGGCAAGTCTGCGATGCACATAATACACACATAAGTCAATCTGGTATGCAACACCTTCCTACTACAATATGTATTCTTTATCTGTTGCTTTCCCCCCCCAAACAAAATAATTCAAAATATAAATAACACTGCCTTCCAATGAAGATATTGTCGACTGAAGACGATAATCCTCTTATATTACGTTTGCTCGTTCTCTATATACCTTCATTCACTATACAAACACCTATCTGTGTCTTATTTAAATAATTATGACCTGTGCAATGAAACCCATACCGAATGTTTTCTTTTCTTTTTTTGCGTTGTGACAGCTTAGCCTCGACTCTACGGGATTATTTGCCATCGTCATCGTTGTGGTCCAGGGTCTTAATGTAAGTAGGTCTATCTAAGCTTACCCAGACGGGGTAAGTTTCTTTATCATTTATGTGTCTCGCTCTCTCCGACCAGTGGTGTTCTAGATATCAGACTGTTGAGTAGGAAGGAACTGTGCTCTTTATGAATAAAGATTAAAATATAATTAAAATAATAATACTTTTTACACAAAGCAATCACGCAAATGCTCTCAAAAAAGAAATTGAACGCCGTCAAAGTGAGTGGCGGGGGATGGCGAAAGGAGGGGTGCCTTCTTCACAGAAATAATGTCTAACATCACTCCTTCATAAAAAGCATTTTCATGGCCCGGTGGCGTAAATTTGTACCAGAAAGGGGGGATGGGACGGCGAATTGTGGATGGCGGGAGAGACTTGCTCAGCTATAGAAAATTGAAAGGCGGCGGGGGTGGGGGTGCTGACACCATGGGTCACTATATAGGGGCCGATGTTCATGATAATAGATGTAGGCTACATCTGTATTTTCATGTATTTCATTCCTGCATAATCTTACTTGCTTTTTATTGTTCTGCCATTTTTACTGCTATTCTATACGTGTTGGTTAGTGGGAAGTCCGAAGAATTTCTTCCCAATCCCACTTAATTTGTTTCTTCTTTCCACGTAAAAGTAGGGGATGAGTCAGTAGCCTATCTTTCCTATAGTCAAAAAGTATGTGGGGTGGATAATACCCCCCTTCCTATGTATTTACGCCTATGCCACAAGCTCACAAAGCCAACAAAGTGAGGCCACTCATAGTATTAGAATTAAGGAGCCTAATGTCAGACACTGTTACAACTCGTCTGCCTATAGATATTTCCGAAGCTGTAACTACTTCAAACAAGTTTCAAATGTCTTTCTTTTTCAACCTCGTTATTGTGATCGACAGTTTCTCTTCAATTATCCCATCTTCTATTCTTCCATCGCGGCGACTATCATGGGCCTCCATCTCGTACTTAATGTAAGTATAGTTAGCTCCCCCAAATGGGGGTGTAAGCTTCTTTATCGTAAGACACCTTGCTCTCTCAGACCAGTGGGGTTCGCGACAGCACAGAGGGAAATGTGTGTCTTTACTATGAGTAAACACACATGCTTTCCTAAATGAGCATTGTGGGCCGTTGGGAAGAGTGGTGGCAAGATGACGGAAAAAACCCCGAAACAGGCGGGATGCATTTTGTACAGAAGCGATATCTACTTTCGCCAGAGAGTAAACAGTGTTTTTCGCGAGCTCACAAGGCCGACAAGGTGACGCTATCCATGGTATTAGATATTCTGAGCCATTACTTACTTTTACGCTCTCAGCGACTATATTGAATACTGGAGTAGTAAAACTGTGAAATTAAGCTTCTCTGATTTTTTTCTTTAACCCGATAAAAAATTTACCAACACTAATGATCTTTGTCACAGCCATAAACAAATTGAACACTATTTGTTCCACTGGTGGTTCTTTTTATTTATATTCATGTTGCTCTTCAGATTGCTAGCTTCCTTGCTGTGACGTCTCAATATCAGGAGTTGAGGGATGGCCGGGGAACGACTTACGACGTTTACGCCTCCAGGGTAAATAACGATGCCTTTTTTTAGTGATCAAAACGATTAACGTAAATTAATGAACTTTCATAGGACGACGGTTTAGGGCGAGGTCGAAGTGCGATATGTTAATTTGGAACGATGTCATATAAATCGTTAACCCAGCACTGAAACTGATCTGTATCATTCCAGCCATTAAACAAACCTCATTGACACCCCCACACCCCCAAACATTGTTCTAAAAGCCCGAACAAAAAGGTTATTGGGAAATATGTTTGAGATATTCCTGAGATCCAAATATATTCATTACTATGAAAAAAAAACGAGTAAGGAGACACAATATCAATCAACTCCTTTCTGTTTTTCCCAAGCGGGGCACTGACAGGAACCACGAACCCTTTGGAGGCATGTTGAATCAGCCTGCACACGGCACGCCATTGCGAAGTATTACCACGGAAGGATAGGGCTTGCTATCAAGGATCAACAATCAGGGCGACAGTGCGCCTCCAAGAGTTTGTAACGCGTTGGTTGGCCAATCGCAATGTGCGAAATCTGTCGGCCCTTTCCAAACGCGCACTGGGTCGACAGATTTCGCGCACTGTTATTGGTCGACGCATTACAAACTCTTAGAGGTGCACTATTGTGAATCGCCCGTATTGGCCGTGCGACGGGGGAAAGTATTAAAATGTTACCAGTCGGGCTTCGGTATTAGTATAAGAGATAATTATCTAAACATCATGATCCACTTGTAAATTAACTTATAATTGAGCATCAAATTACAAATGGTTTTTATCATAAGTTCTTTTTATTTTTGGTTGAACAGCCTACCGTTAAAATAAACGTCCTACGAATTTCATGTCTGTATTCTGTCCCGCATATTGGAGGATGCAACAATCGTTTGAAAAGTGTGTAATAACGACTCAAACAGTTGGCGTCATTAGAACATCTCAATGTCCAAGACGATGTTGCGCCTTTTTAGTTTGTAAAGCCATTTTCCATTGTATTTGAAGAGTAAATGCGGGGGCCGATCTGTCACAACTGAGTTACGGTAAGGGATAAATGTGCTTCTGAATGATTTACCTCTGTTGCTATACTTGGATATGCTACCATTAACATACTCTTAAACGTGTTGCTGCAATAAATTTTTCTTCGACACGAAATTTATCCAACTGTGTACTCTACTTCTTCATTGTATGAAATCTATTTTATCCGAAGTCGGTTAAATGCACTGAAACGCACCTTTTTAAATTATTTAAAATCATTTCCTGGACAACTGGGGACGCTGTTGTTGCGATGTCATACCGGGAAGACAAGTTCAGTGCATAGGTTCAAATTGTAAACCCACAATTACCTTATTGAAATTACTTCTCAGAAAGGGTTGATTGCTCGCTTATTTCTGTCTACTTATACGACAAAGACTTACCAAAGGAGAGAAAATTCAGTCCATAAAAGTCTTTAAAAAGCTGGAGTTTTGTGAACGAACCAATGAAACATCAAAATCTGTTTCCTGGGATGATATTACAGTTTTGGTCATGAATATGGAAATACTCACTTAAATAAAAATGATTTAGGCGGTAAAATGCCTTTTGAAACATTAACTGAGACACATAGCTGCGTTGAAGGTTTAAAAGAATTCTAGTCACCCTTTAATCTTTGCTTAGCCATAGCATACTGTATGTACATTTTTGGAAAAAAAATCTTTTTAATCATAACAAAACAAATGCTTGTTACAGAACGGGGAAAAGTAAAGAGAAAAACAACCCGATAAAGGCCTTCTGTTTTTATTTAAACAGCGGCAAACCACCTGCCCTTGCGCAACAACACAATTCGGGCACGGCATGAAAAGACTGTAAGAAATTCAATAATACAGAACACGCTGGTCACACTGAGGTTGTGACACCAAAAGGTCATAGTCTGACTGCAGAAGTGTTGGTGTTTCGACTTTCGTTCAAAATACAGTGTAATGTTATTGCACTAGCACTAGTCTGCGAGACGGATTTTATCTAGGCTTGAAATCAAGTCGGTAATTGGTTGGGTGCAGTCCACCTTCCTCGCGATGCCGTTCGGCGAGCAATTAAATAACACGCGGGAACGATCAGTGCAACCTCGCTCCCTAATACGCGTGTCCGACGGTGCCCAATTACCAACTAGCAATTAGGCGGGCACAGCTACAGTCCACTTATTCAAGCCCCATTGAAAACTATGTAAAATCAGCACTGTTCGGGGCCCAATAGCATGCACGCCAACATCCCTGAGATTTCTGAAACACAAATG